GAGCTTTAGATGGAACTTTAATGCCTGTATTTTTTATTTTGTGCAGTTCCTTAAATCTTAAATATTTACATTAAATCAATTTATGTTGGTGAAATAACCTTATTAGTATGTTATGGGAATGTTTGACAAAGGTTGCTTAATTAATAATATGTAAACAACAAAGGCTGTCTGTTTTTTATTGTAGTCTGGCTTTGAGGGAGCTTTACGCTGTCTTAAAGCTTTCACCTTTCACCTGAAGAGCAATAAGCAGAGTTCAAAAAGAACATTTGCTTTTTTTCTCTTAACCCCTGGATTTTGTCGACCGCAGGATTTCATTTCTCTCGAGGTAAGTGTATTTAAAAGTTCTTTTTGTGATTGTATGGCTGTCTTTCTTTGATTGTGCCCATTAGTATTAGCTTTGGCTGTCCTAGCTACTGTTTAAGGTGCAATGAACAGGATACTATTGTGTGTGATTTCTGAAATTGAATCTAAGGACATTTACATGTTGTAGATGTAAAATAAGAAAAAACTACATTTAAGAGTGATATGAGGAATAGGAAAAAAACAATAAATATATTTTTTCCCCTACTCTAGTGTTTTATTGCCATTCCACTGTCACAGGTACAGAGCTATGAAATGATTCTCTGCATTTAACTTATCTCCTTGGGGAGGAGTGGGCTGCCATTGTGCAGTGCCCAGGGAGCAGCGTGGGGTTAAGGGTCTTGCTCAGAGGCTCAGAGTTGCAGGCTGTGGGATTGGGAATTGAACTCAGACACTCAGGATTCTAAGCTCTATAACCTAACCACTAGAGATTAATCAAGATCACTTCCATAATCATTATAATGTATAATAGAAAAATATCTCATCTGATTAAATACTAAAAATGCTCATTAATATTTTTTTGGATATTATTGGAGGTAGTAGCAATAACTGCATATGAAATGAACTTTATTTGTCTTTTACTCCATTTTCAGATCATGCAGATCGTGTCTGAGTTCTCATACAGACTCCTATTCATGACAAAAGTTCTCATATCCAAATTTAGTAGTGTAAAAGATGTATTTTTTATGTAAATGAAAGGTCAGCATTCAGTTCTAAAATGTCTTAACATGAACCCTTGTTAAAATGGTGCAACATTGTGATGAAAGATTGTGGGAGCCAATGGTTGTACAGTTACTCAACCCAAATGCTTTTAGTAGGGTTTCATATTTTCCAAAAATGTGCTCAAAATTATATCTAAATAATGCTTAATTAATGCAGCTGTCCCTCTTTTATCTCAGTTCTCTGCTTAAAAACAGATTTATGAACCTGTCCCCTAATGTAATGATAGCAGAGAAAATAACTTTCCAGATATCTAGAAGATCTAATTCTGTCTGTTCAATCAGAAATCAGATATGTGCTCATTTAACTTGTGACTGGGTATTGTGTTTTGTGATTTATTGCTCTAGCTGTGCACTTTTGTGGGTGATCATTTCTCATATGCGGATGAATAAACTGTTTAGTTGAAGGTTATCTTTTCTTTTTATAGTTCTTTAAAATATGCTTATTTAATGTACATTTTCAGATGCCTCGTGGCAGGTCTCATCGTAGATCTGAGGCAGCTCGTAGGCGACTTGAAGTCACCCGAACTGAGCGCATAGGGATACAGCAACCTTCTGTCGATTTCGTGCCACGTAAGTATTTTTTAATGTAGAGTTCCTATTCTGTAAATGTTGATTAACATTGTTTTAGCAAAAATACATTTTTTAATAGTTCTTATGTCTTTTAACAGTTGGTGGTACAGGAAAGAGACACAAAGTTAGGAAATGGGAAGCCAGTTTGGTGACGCCTCACCAACACAAACTGGTTATTCCTGATGGGAGCCCTGATAAGCAAGTATGTTGAATATTATAAATATATTATGAAGAAATATCTTTATATTTTTATCTGTTTTTAGTGAGTTTTTTCACATTTTAATGTTATTTATTTTCAGTTCATCCTGGTTATCGGTGCCTCCCATCTGCGGTCATTTGCAGACGGCATCGTTCGTATGCCAGGTGGTCGCTTTGTTTTCGGATTCATGTCGACTCCGGGAGCAGCA